AAAGAAAAGAAATATGTTTCTGGCAACCCATCAGATGAGATGAATTGGTGGACTACAACTCATTGGGATTATTATTAGCTGTCAAATAGGAGTGAGGGCTCAATCAAGAGTAACAAAAGTGACAATTGAGTGGTGCAGCAATGAGTGCCAATCATTTCACAAACTGAGATAATATCCCATCCCATCCCATCCCAAGTTGAGAAGAAGCAGTGAGTGCATGAGTTCTTTATGTGGGCCAGTGGACACAAATGATTGTGTTTTAAGAGGTGCAGATGCAAGAAATGGATGATGTTGAAAGAAGTATAAGTGCTTACAATTATCACCCATACCTCTCTCTTGGCACTAAAATATTTACATGTGTAAGCATAATTAATAAATATTTATAACCAATTAAAACTCGATATATAAATTTTTATTTATTAAAAAAATACTATCAAGACTTGTCATGTCGACATAGATATTCATGATAAATATTCTTTAAATTATTTATAGTTAAAATTTTTTTTTTTTAATAATAAATAGAATATAAAATAACACCTTAAGTTAATTTCTCAAATTCACTTTTGACATTTATCGATTTAACTAATTGATCTATCAATTATATTGGATTTAAGTTATTAACTAAAATATATAAATTAAAATTATGAATAACATATTTATCAAACTCTTATAAATCAATCTTAATCTTGCATGTGAAACTAATCGAGGTATTACGAGCATCACCTTTCTTCCGTAGGTAAATATAATAATTAGAACATTTGACTCGAGTCATTCTTCCATAGCAACATAATAGTTACATAATGAGTTAAAGTATTGAGATAATAATGCCTTAACCCTATCACTGTCGATGCATCATGCATGTAACTTCAAAATCAAATTAGATTGGCGATACAAAGTCATAATATTTACATAATGATAAAGATTATCTTTAAAAAATATTATTGTATTTTAATTTTTTTTGTATTGGCTTTGATGATACAATGATAAATATCACTTCTATCTTGGAATTATAACAAGTTTGTCAATCTAGTTTTGATGATGTTTATCATGTTTTAAATTTATGTGTTCAAGACGGACTTATATATTTTAGAATTTTTTTTCCTAATAAGAAAGTTATTTCCTTCTTATGGGTCATCTACAAGTAATGAAAGAATGGGCCAAAATTAAGTGGCAAAATGTCTAAAATTTTTTTTAGGGATGTTCCTACTAATGAAATTCTACCTATGAATCGATTAAAGAATATTTTAAATATAAAAAAAATATTATGCACTTTTGTTGTAAATAATCACATAAGCTACCAGTGAGATAGCTTATGTGATTATTTATTCATTTATTATAAATATTTAGGAGTAGATGTTGGTATTGATGATAAGATTATAGATGTAAAAAAATTGATAATTAACTTATATGATCATTATAGTGAGAGCTATAGTAAAGAACATAATACCTTACAAACTTCTATATCTAAAGTTACCAAGATAGTAAAATCTTAATGAGCAAAAAATATTAGTACAGAGGGGGAAAAAAGAACCCTAAGAGGCTCAGCTCCAACTTCAAAATTAATATGTATTTAATATTTTTTTATTTAGTGATAACACTATATGTATAGAGTTTTTTTTATTCTATAATAGTGGGTATGATACATAATAACATTTTTAATATTGGTAATCACGAGACAAATACTAGTGACTCCAGTGTCGACAATAATTGTTGAGCAAACCTTTAGTGCAGGAGGATAGATCTTAAATGAAATCAGATCGAACATAACCCCAATATCAATAGAAACTTAAGCGTACATCAAATACTAGATCGTCCGCAAAGACAATAAAGTCTAAGTCATTCAACATATCAATCAAAGTGACGTGAGAACATTTGGCACCTGATTAAATATTATCATTTTGTATCAATTTTTTTATTATGTCATTATATATTCACACTAATTAAGTATCAAATTTTTTTAATAAAAATTTAAAAATAATTTTATAAATTTTTTATATTATACATTTTATAAAAAAAATTAAAAAATATATAAAATTCGAACCGAAATTAAAATGGATTTTGATTTTATATTTTGTCAAACCAAAACGAATGATTCCAAAATCAAAATCGTGGTGAGGCCGACAATTCACGCCGTGCGTCCACACCTCCCTTCACGAGTGCAAGAGAGTTCGAGCAAAACAAGGAAGCCGGATAAGGTTGGAGCCAATGGAACTGAAACAGGTGGCTTTTGGCCGAGCTTGGAAACACCGCATGTTTCCAGCACATGCAACCTAACCAAGAATGCCGTGGTGGTAGGGCAGCAGAGATCGTCCGGCCGACTGGCTACAGCCAAAACTTGCGTTGGCACAGCTTCTGAGAGGTTTCCCGGAACAATCCAAACGCCACTTGTACTGCCGACGACGTGTGGACGACAGAAGTTAATGGTCGGTGATGGTTGGCCCAGCAAGAAGACAATAAGAGAGAGAGAGAGAGAGAGAGAGAGAGAGAGGAAGGAGAATGATGAGAGTTGAACCTTTAGAAAGCTCAAACAAATGAGAAGCCCAAGTAGCCCAAACCAAGAAAGAAGAGATCACTAGAACTTAGTGAAGCCATGCATGCATGCCTAAAAATCTCATCTACGTATTTGTTGTTGTAGAGTGAGTACATTATATTATGGGATATTTCTCTCTCTTGATATCTCATTGTTATTACTGTAGAAAGGGATAAGCGTAACCTTCTTAGGTGTCACAATCTATTTTAACGAAAGATGAGCCCATCACTTTATGTAAATTATGATCGTTTGGCCAACATTAAATGCGATCAACCAATCATTCCAAATATTTTAGTGTCATCCTACATCGTCAAATCTTATCGTCGAATATAAAACTTATCACTTATACAATAATACAGTATATTACGAAAATAGTAGTTAAATTTTTTTCAGTATATTCTTATCATCACGATGAGATTATTTATTTATGATTTAAAGAATTAACATTTAATCTATATTAATGGGAGCCTCATCTAATGAATCTTAATTTATAAAGTTTTAAATAGAATCAATATTAGGAAAAACAATTGACCGACGAAAATGATAATTTAGATATAATTGTGTTAAAAAATAACAAAAATATTTATAATCTTTTATTAGAAATTTGGAAGGGTAGTAACTATTACTCGTACGAGGAACCCACTCCTTCACCCTTGTCACTATCATGTCGACACGTCGCACCGCTCTCATTCTGTTTAAGCGACGCGTGTGTCACACGTACAGATGGTCCAGAAGCATCCCATCACGGAACTAAATGACGATGTTACCCCTTACCGATGTAGCGCTGTCACCGGCGGCGAAGGACAGATTGGTCTTTTAGTTCCCCGATGAATGTCCATTCTTCGTCGGTTTAACCGGTTCCAGCACTCGAACCGGGTCGGTTCCTTTGCTCGGACCGAATCGAGACCTGGCCCATAAATCCGGTCCGTTCTAATTTAATGCACACAGCCAAATCGGACCCATTCAATGCACATCTTCAAGCTTCTCGGCAACTCTGAATTCAGCGGAAATGCCCATTTGCGGCACACAACATTTGACTTTTGGACGCCATGTTTGAATATGCTGCATGTTCTCAATCAATTTTCATATGTTGTCACCATGTCTCAACATGATGCATGATGTGATCACATTCTTAATCGTATGGGAGATGATGATGGTCGATCATTATTATCCGACACTTGCCTTGTCAAGCGTTACTGCGCAAGTCAAGAGGTAATGTTTGACCAAATGGTCAAATCTAATTATCGATTGAGGTAAGATAAACTAAATGGAATGGATAGTTTGATTTTTTTAAGGCAAATAATATCATTAAATCTTATATTAATTATTTTCAGATTTATTGAACAAAATTTGGCTGGTCAAATTAGAATTTTAATTGAAATTGTCATGGTATTCTTCCACTGCAAGGCTTCCCAATCTGGTTGACCGGTCCGGTTCGGTGATCCATCCCGGTTCATGTCAACCCGGCTCAACATTTAAGATTGGAGTTCTGGCGGAGCACCGGATTCGGTCTATTTCCTTTACCCGTTTACGTTTACGAGGATCCGTACTCGTTCCTTTAGTGGACAGATAAAGTGGGTCCAGCATTTAAGCTGAACGGGTGTTGGAAATCAAGCGTAAACGAGGGCAGGAAGATTCCTGCGGTAAAAGAACAAAACATTAACGTGAGAGTGACGTGGAATTACAACTATGGACAGAGGCCGCATTAACGACAGTATATAGCGGGAAAGAGAGAGAGAGAGAGAGAGAGAGCGGATGGATTGGGGCTGCTTCGTTGGAGAATTCTAGTTGCGTTCTCGCGTGATTTGGTCGGAATTCCAGCGGGAGCAGGCAATCGGGACGCCCCCGATCGTTAGGGTTGGTAGATTCACCTCGATCTTGAACTTCTTTGATTCGTTTCTGCTCGATTTCCTTCGGACAATCTCGTGTTCGTTTGGGCGGAGTCGGTTGGTATGGCGTCCGAGGAGGGGTGGGAGGTAATGCGTGCCGTGAACGGCACCTCTTTAATTTGCTTCTTGTTTTCGTCCTGCCCTCTTTCGTTTCTTGTCCTTGTGATCTTGGATTTATTGTGGAGGTGTTGATTTGCATTGAGGAGGTTTTCTTTATGAGCCGTGATGGATACATTGTTTTGCTGGTTTTTATCTTCTGCATTTTAAAGAAGCAAATTTGGTAGAAAAAAGTGTGTCCTTTTTTCGAATTTTTATTAGTATTTTTAGTGGGAAATGGAGTTATTGGATTCATGCTGTGTTCGTGCGATTCTTCTTGCCCTTCCTTTTCCTACCATCACCAGGAATTAACCTCATCTAATACATATGCCTCTTCTCTTTCTGTAATTGTTTTATACTTAGATTGGTCAGCTTGCTTCTACTGGATGTGAATTATGTAAAGTTACTACCTTCCGCTTCCAAAATGGGTTTCAGAGTTGAATTCTAATCTGCTGTTGCGTTTCTGTTTTAGGATATTGGTTGTTTACTTGGATAGCTTTTCCTCGGCAACACCTTCCTGCTGGCAGGGATTTGGAAGATCGTCTCTTTTTATTCATGCCTTCCTAGTACCATTAATTTCCAGGTGTTAGTACTGCTATTCCCGCATGGATTTGATTGTTGGTAAAACCGAGGAAGTAGAAATGGACTGTGCTAACTTATTGGATCCTAGGCATTACGAGTACCATAATTTACCTATACCTGACTAGCTGCAATGGAACTGTAGATTAGTATTCCGCTTTGCGTCATATTGCTTAGTACTGAACGTTGTGGATGTAGATTTGCTTGTGAACATTGTGGATGTGGATTTGTTGGACAAGGGCATGAGGAATAATTCTTCCCGTTTGTTATATAGAAATAATATGCTATGACTTTAGGGCGATAGCATTAAGACACCAATCAGCATTAACAGCAAGTAAAGCGAGAAGATACAGGTAGTAGAATTCAGCCACCTATATCTTTGCAACAATGGGCTTGCCCCAAGCGCTGCCAGGAGAAGCTGATGAAGGGATGAGATCGCCGAGCACATTTGTGTCAACCCCACCTCGGTCTCGTGGTATTAGTGGCTGCAATTTGGATGGTCAGCATGCTAGAAGTGCAAATTATCGCAGTAAAGGAGGTTTTTTGCATTCACCTGCCAGTGAGTTTCAAAGGAAATCCACCTTGGAGGACTTAAAAGAAGCCAATTGGCTATTTGAATATAGAAATTCCATTAGTGACGCCGCAGATCTTCAACGTCTGAAGATTGACACTAATGATGCAAATAACAAGCTATTACCTAAACTCTATAACACCAGTCAGAAGCCTGTCGTTAGAGTTTTTGGCTTTGGATCGGGTCAGTTGGGTTCCTCTGTCGATGGCTTTGGCAATGTACCAATGGATCAAACTCATTCTTCTGTAGCTCTTGATAAGTCTAATTTACCGACTGACTTGTGTCGATCACAACCGCGAAAACTTTTATTGTCTCCTTTGAATAGTGCACTTGGGAAGCAGTTCCACAGTGATGTGCTTGACATAAATTCTGTCGATACTCAACTAGAATCCTGTGGCTTGAGTAGGACTTGTGATGTCTTCCCTTATGGGCCTCATATCAGGGCGCCTTCTTCTCATTCTCATCATTTATCATCATGGAACGTTAATTCTGATAAACAGAATAAACCAAGACCTTTTACTAGGGGAATTGCCATATCTCCAGAGAAGACACTTTCAACACCATTTCCCTTGTCTCCTCTTGGTCCTAGATGGTCTGAAAGAACGAAAATTTCAGGAGTTCAGAGGGACATCATAAAGGATATTGAAAGTGACTTTTTGCTTATGAAGGGTCTTGAAGATTCCAATGGTGGAAGTAAAACTGAAATGATATTCTTTTCTGAAGATTCTGATTTTAGAACGTCCAATACATTTGAGGAAGCTAGCATATTTCATGATGAAATGGATACAATTACTACTATTAGTATAGGCCACAAGGGCTGGAATGGCAATCCTGATTCTGTGGCTGCACCTCGTTGCATGAATCATATAAGAGCTTCAAGCATGATACCCGTCAGGAGGTCCTTAGTTGGATCCTTTGAAGAGTCTCTCTTATCCGGCAGATTCTCATCTGGAAAAGGCTGTCAGGTATGAGATCAATTCTATATTTCATTCACCGTGATGTATAAAAATTGATTTTAACCTTCTGAGGTTCAAATACACAAGCATTCATGTCGTACATAACCTGCATTTTTCTTCCAATTTTTCAGACCTTTGATGGTTTTTTGGCTGTACTAAACGTCACCGGTGGTAGTTTTTCGCCGCCTTCTCAGAAGCTTCCTTTCTCAGTGATGAATGTTGATGGTGATAGCTCGCTGTTGTACTATGCGTCAATCAACCTTGGTGGAGCCTTGCCCTCTAATAAGCATAGTGGTCCAAAATTAAGAAGAAGTCTGAGCAATGACTCTGGAGTAGCCAAAAGTTGGCTACGGATTCCTATGAAAGGGCGCATACAACTGGTATTTGGTTTTTTGTACCTCAAAGTTTTGTTGGTGCTTAAGTTAGGGCTGGTAACTTGACATGCTTGCTGATACTACTTTAAGTGCATTAGTAGTTGACCTGTATTTGTCTTCTTAAATTTTCCACAAGTTAATACCGTATTTTTCAATTTTCATAATTCAATACTGAAGATGTTGATTTCGCTTTTCCCTTGTCAATTCAGATATTCTTACGTTATGTCCTTTTTCTTCTTTCACTTTCATAACTAGCAACGACACTCCACGTAAAAACATTATCTTACAGTTTTCATAAATTAATTGTGAGGATATTCAGTCAATGAGTGAAATATGGCAAAAAACAAGAACATTCTAGGTAAAATAATTACCTTACATTTTTCATAAATTAATTCTGAGGAAAGGGTTCTTTTTACGTGTTGTTGTTGCGTGATGTATACGTAGCTTTACGTGGCAATAGGATGAGAGACCAATTATCATTTGTCTTAGAAAATAAGTACGATGGTTCGTTACTATAATTTTTATGAATTATACACTTCAGAGGGAAACATTGGATGACCTATTGGAATTTAATCAGGTGACGTTTATTTCCCTATATTAATAATTAGAGAAATTTGAAAAGCAAAAGGACTGCCACTTGTTCAGGTGTCTTCTACATAGTGCATATTAGCATATTCACCTGTCGGCACTTTTTTTTTCATTAAAAATAATGCAGTAAATGTTTCATGTTGATATCTGTGGTCACCGACTTTTGATAGGATTTATGATGTTTCTGAAGTTTCTTCAGGCTACATCTTTTGCCTTTTTAACAGTCATATACTATATACTTGTGCCATAATCAAAGTAGATTATCCAACATGTGCAGAAATAGTTTTCTTTTTTTGCTACGAGTTCCTGATATGTTGGTTTTAGTAGGTCCTTAGCAATCCTGAGATGACCCCTCTCCACACCTTTTTCTGCAACTACGATTTGAGTGACATGCCTCCAGGAACAAAGGTACCATTATTTAACTGCTTAGGACCTGCGCTCCTTGTTCACCCCTGTTATCGGGTAACTTTACCAAAAAAAACTCTTTCATGCTTGGATATAAAATGATGGTGATATATAAGCAATAATTTTCTGCTAAAAAAAGCTAATGACCAAATGTTTATATTGTGTAATCTAATTTGTCCTTTGCATAGTTGTATGAGTATCATACACAGGTGTAGCTATAAGTATTGCATGGGTACTAACATAATATGATAGAAATGTGTCCCATAGCATGTGATTTGTCAAGGTGACTGAGTGGAGATTAGGCACATAGGGGAGGGTACACAAAGCTTACAGATAGATTTATCAAAACTGTGTTAGTGTCTTTCTACTTTCTAGTTCTACTCTTGTAAACCTGAGATCTTGCAGAAGTCCTTGAAATTACACTTTATCTTTCTAGTATGGGTGGCTGGACTGAAATCTGTAAATTTCAGGGACGTAAAATTATACGTCAAAACCAGGAGGATACAAGTCTAATTTTGATGTACTTGATTCACCAGGGAAGATGGTAGGAGCGGAAGAAATTGAAATGATTTCTTCCAGCAGAAAGTTGCTGAAAATTTAGAAATTAGCAGAAATCGACCAATTCTGGCTGTCGTACTCATATTGGAAATTCCAGATTTGGCCTGTTCTGGGGTGTTTTTTCTGTTATCTGGTGAAATTCACCATAGTGTCGCAGATGTGAAGCATGATATAATGACTAAAAATCTGCTTTTTCTGCAGCTAAAGATGACAACCCTTTGTTGAATGGAATAGGTGGGTGTTCTCGCCAAGGGCGATCCTAACATATGTTTCTTCTGCAATGCAACATATGTTGCATTCTTGCACATCACTTGTTTTTATTAGGCTTGCTTGTTTAGCTGAACTTTTATTAAATCACAAGAAGGTCTTTGAAGGATACTGCTTCTTTTGACTGTGAGATTGCTCACTTCATTTTAGCATTCAACTTCTGTTGGATTATGCTTCTTTTCTTTTTCTTTTTCTTGTTTGATGTAATGACCACTATATCTTAGAACCTAACAAACAACATAACTGCATTAACAGCTAGTTGGCGTTGGCTACATGAAATTTTATTTTTCCACATACAGTACGTGGGAGATATTATTTATGTTTGTTTCTTGTTTATGTTGCCAGTTTGTAATAGGTTAAATTGAATTTCTGGTCAAAAGGTTTTTTATGTGGAAAATACACATAGCTAAAGAACCAAACTGAAAATGTTATTGTACTTTTCTTATCTTAATTTATTCTATCGATTGTTGAAAGCTTCATCTAAGCTGCAGTTACCTTGTACCAAATTTAATAACATTGGTGATACATTTTGTTTGTATTGACATAAATTGAAGCAGACATTCCTGCGTCAGAAGGCCACTCTGGCATCTTATGGATCCTCAAATAATCCAGCAAAAGAAATTCTCTCTAGTGACATGAAAGTAGCTTCTGAAACTACACTGAAGTCCAATCATGCTGGCCATGGAGAGTGTCATGGCAAGTAGCTTGGCTGTCTCATTGTATTCATTAGTTAGAGAAATTGATCACTAAGAACCGTATCCCTCTGGCTTTCAGGTTGCATGCATAATGATGATACTCAACGGTGTAACCTGGCTACTAACTCACAAAGCACAGGGGAGAGAAGCTCTGAGTTTTTCTCTTCAGAGGACTGCAATGAATTACCAAATCAATCTAATTCTGTCATGGATTCTAAAAGAGATGAAAAGTATAACTGTTGTCATGTAGATATGTGTCCTTTAGCTAGCAGAACATCTGTACATAGCTCTTTGAAGGTCAACGATAACACTGCTGGTGCTCTCCGTTATGCCCTTCATCTGCGTTTTCTGTGCTCCTCTACCAGGAAATCAACCAAGTCATTTCAGAGATGCAAATCTGACCCTGATTCAGCCCCCGAAACAAAATGTGTAGACACTATGGGGGGGCGTCGTTTCTATTTGTATAATGATCTCAGAGTTGTGTTTCCTCAACGGCACTCAGATACAGATGAGGGCAAGGTATGGACTAAATAATTTGCCTTGTTTTTGGTTACTTGGTTTCTTTTTTTCATTGCCCTTTTGCTAACTTAGGCAGTGCTGAGAATTGAGCTAGCGATTTTAACTTGTTTCCGTTCATCACGGTTCATGAGCCTAGTACATTCCTTTTTATGGAATTGATACACGATGAAAATGAATTTTAGAGTGCTTAATTATTTGATGCATGATACCTCTGCTAATTAGATGAACATCCCATAAACATGAAATACTGCATTATGTGATAAGTGACCTTTGCATCTGCATTTAGTTGACATGTATCCAATGAGATTGTGGGCTGCTTTTATACGTCTGTTGTAGTTGCTGAAACAGTTAGTATGGTTTCAGGTCTCAGATTCTTGCCTTGTCGGTCATTGTGACGTGTGTTTATGCACTTGCTTGTGTAGGTTGTCTTTAGTGAGCCGTTGTGAGGGGGAATGATATTCCGGATTGGAACGATAGTCATGCGCATAATTAGTAATTGATGTTCTTGAAATGCATGATCTTGAAGCATTGGAGATGCTGTGTGTGTTTTATCTTGATTTGGTTTCTAATATATGTTTTCTTCGGCATGACTTGTTACAGTTACGAGTGGAGCACCACTTTCCAGCAGATCCAAAGTACTTTGACTTGAGCAATTGACAAGGCTTAATTGCATTCTTGGGCACGATTGTCCCTGACACACTGTACATACTTAACACTGACCTACCTCAGTCAACTTGTTGCTATTTGTACATAAATCTTCTTTCTAAGTGAATAAAATTTGTGCTGTGATCTTAGTCTTCTCTTTGCTTTCGGTTCCTCGCATGTTTTCTGATGATTCATTGAAATGTGGTGTTCTGAATCATCTTTTGAGAATGAATATACCTTATTCACCTCTACTCTTAAGTAGTCATATATATTTATTTGGAGATGGGTTGGAATCTCCTCATAAGAGCATTCTCAAAAGCTTGTGTATTGAATGTTCACCATTTCAAGGTGGTTGTATGAATTATTATCAGACATATCATGGAATGTCATTATGAATGTGGTTGAAAGTTTATTATATGTTTAAGTCTATATCGGATCATATATCAATTTTATTATCAAAATATTGGATAGATATTAAAGTTTACCTATCTTACGTTTTATATTTATATTAGTTGAATGGGTAATTTAAAAGAAAAATAAAATAATATATTATCAATAATGTAAGTTGATTTTGTGTTATGCTTTTGAGATCTCTAATCAAACAAACTTTATGATTGTGACTTTATAAAAAAAATGTTAATTAGTTTAGATTAATTAAGAATTATTCTCATATCAGATTTGTGATGCAAAAAACAAAAAACAAAGCTTAGGGATGTGAGGCTAATCTGACATATTTCATGTGATTTGACTTCAAGCCAAAAGATCATGAAAACAAACATTAGGTCTGTGTTATTGGCGTTGACTAATTATTGTGGCTCCTCCTTCCTGCCATAGCCATCTTTGACCGGCTTGTCCTGCCATGATCGTCAACATGGATTTCTCATCGGATGCTTTTTGTGGAAATAGAATGATGAGGATGAGACTGAAGCAGAATATATTCTGCACGGAGAATGTCATCGGAGAACAGATGCCAAAGCAATATTATCCTATGTATGATAAGGCCAAGTTGACCATATCCATCCAGCTAGGGTTTCAGTCGAAGCTTTGGTCTCTCCTCTTCACTTGCACCCACACTATAAATGGAGGCCTATGGAGCCAACGATGTGTCACCAGGGAAGGACGAGTGGAAGGGAGGTCTCACATGGAGATGAGAGCCTGTCTTTGGTAGCCAAGAATGACTTGCCTGTGTCCTCACGCAGGGTTTTGAGGTTTCTCAGAGCTGTTTGTGGTTTCATGGGCAGTCATCTTGGCTAACCTGAGAAGCTCTCGTCCTCCATGCCAGACCTAAATCTCTTCCTCTATGTGTTGTGCGTCTTCTACCTGTGACCTACATCTCTATACGTGCTGTATGCATGCATAAAGCTATCAACGTAAATTCACAATAGCTTCAATTTTAATTCAAGGCATGAAGCCATAACAACTCGTGTGTCTCACAGACACTCAGTCAAACGTGGGAGAAGAGATGCTGAGCGCAGAAGATTTTGGCCACGAGAGAGCTTGCTGTGGTGACAGACTACATTCACTATACGGTCTGCTCCTTCGAGGGAGACTCACACAGCCTACAAATACCTTCTCTGGACTCGTTTTCTTGCTTCTGTGTGCACTCATCGGCAAACCCCCCTCCCCTTCGAATAGGTTAGCATCATGCTTGCAAAAGTACTACTGCTTGTGGTGTCGTTGATAGTGTTTCCTTGCAGACTTTACTCTCCTTGGGGTAGAGAGATCGACGAGGTCAGGCATGAGAAGAAGACTCGTCTCCATGTAGGCTGGCTTGCCTCACATGAATACTATTATATCCAGAGAAGCTCATCATTCTGGTTTCTTTCTTTCTGAGTCCCTTAGTACCTACCATCAGAGTAAAAATATAGAGAATTTGGATTTCAATTAAGAAATTAATAAAAATATATAAAATAAAAATAAAATAAATTTAGAAAGAATCTGGACATATGAATTCACTATCTTAAAGTGAAATCTCATGATTATTTATGCTCGAGATCTTTATTATTCTTTCTAATATCTTAGTACTGTTTCTAAAAATATAGGGTATTTGGATTTTAATTAAGAAACTAACAAAAAATATTTTAAAAATAAAAAATAAAAGCATGAAATTTAGAAAGAATTTGGAGATGTAAAATCTATCTTAAAATGAAAACTCATTATTACCATATTGGAGGTAGAATTGGAGCTCAAGACCTTCTGATATATTATCAAAATCTTTACCAACTAAATTAGTTTACGCTTTAATTATAAAGTAACTTGACGACTAAGTCAAACAATAAAATCAAATAAAAGAAACATATTTAAATAAGAGGATAAATTATATTGATCTCTAAATTTTAAAATATTTAAAATAAGAAACTAATAAAATATTTAAAAATAAAAATAAAAGAATAAAATTTAGAAATAATTTGGAGAATCTATCTTAAAGTGAAGTCTCATTATTATGGGAATGATCCGAGATCTTCATCCCAATATTCTATCACTCCTAAAAGCATGATATTGATCTTTTTTTTCTTCTTTTTTTAACAAATAAATGATGAAGATAGGATTCGAGGTTACGATATATTATCAAATTTTTTATCAACTAAATTAGTTGACACTTTAATTATAAAGTAACTTGACTAAGCACTTTCAATCGACCGAACAACAAAATCAAATAATAGAAACATATTTAAACAAGAGGAGGAATTATATTGGTCTCTAAATTTTGGATATATATATATATATATATATATATATATTGTGTAACACCCCTAATTAATCTCATATCAAAAATTGACAAGATTAAAATTGACTTATAAAGATCCGATGAATGTATTATTATCAACTTTAGCTTAAATGTTTTGATCAGTGATTTAGACCAAACGAAGTTGATGAACTAATTAGCCCATCCGAACTTAGGTCGTGACTATATATATATATATATATATATATATATATATATATATATATATATATATATATATATATCTTGAACACACAACATGTTCTCGTGACACATTCAGCGTTACTAAAGGCACGGTAATCTTGTTGCACGTTTACTGAGGTGTTATGGGAAGACGATGTGGGGGGTTTGACCATGGCATATGCCAAATGGGGAAGTAGTCAGAGCAGGGTGGACTTTGTTGGGACGACAAATAGAAAATATTTCATGAGGGTTTTGCTTTGCTTTGTGTTGACGTCATGCGTGCAAATTATATTCTGACCAATCTTCATCAGTACCACTTTGTTATCATAGACACATGATTTGATTCCCTCCGACATAGGTGGTTGACTTTTCACCACGATCTTATCCATGAAAGATTGCTGCATGCTTTCGGATGGGAAGAACACGATCCAGAAAGAGAACGGCAACATCGATTTGGCTTCCCTATGAAAAGTCAATCGGGTGAGGAATATATGCCGCCATGACTAATACGATGTGCGTCTGTCCCGAGAAGAATACTCTACATGTAAGAAGGGATACGATTCTCCATATCTGTAACGAGAAATGGAATGCGTGATTGCCTCATATTTATGTTGCTGATTCTTATTATCTCTAAAGCATTCTTGATAATTTATTCCTTTTAAATATGAATTTTTTTTCTCTTAAATATGATTGAAGTAAGCTAATTCATATAGAAAATTATTGGATGATTTTTCTAAAAAAAAATCTCACTTTTGGGCTTTTGTTATTGATATTCTCATTTCCAATTTTTTCATCTCGTGTCTTTATTTTTCTCTCGTACCCTCGTTGCCTCTTGTTATTTCTCACCATCCATTGATTTCATCTCGTCATGATCGTCTTTGCCTCATATGATCACTTTCCTCACGAAGGCCACTGAGGCCTTGAACATACCATTGCCTTCGTTTGTTGCTAAGACCATCATCCATCACAATCGTTATGTTGTTTGGCCACCTTGTTCTCCTCAAGGCTTATCTTCTTGTTGTAGTTGTTCTCAAGAGCAAGAGAGGCGAGGGCATGGGCACAATCAGTAGAGGCTCGATCGAGCATGGGATTAGACGGTGATAGTGTAGCTCTAAATCCAAATTAGGATGGGTCGATGTTGGTGATGGGAAAGATTGATGGCGATTTTCCATCATCTTTGTAGAAGTAGATAGATAGGAGCTAATAAAGGTCGATGATAGATGCATCAAGGAGGGTGAGGCCTCGTGATGGATGAAGGCGAGAGTGATATATGAGGGTGACGGCAAAGTCAATGGGCGAGAGCACTACAATAGTGTTGGACAATGACCTTTGCAATAGTAGCAATAGGCAAAGGTGAGGGCACACTCAAGAGCCTTAACAACCTCCGAAAGAACATGATAAGGGAGGCAGGATCTTGCGATAGAGTAGAGCGGCAATAGTGATGCAGAAGTGGTGGGTGGCGGACGATGATGATGGACATTTAGAGTATTAGAGAAAAATAAGGATACCAAATGAAATAACTAACAATGAGGGGCATAATTCAAAGAAAATCTAAAAAAGAGAAGTATTTTCAAGGAAATCATACAAATTTATTTATTAAAAAATAAGGAAAAAAAAATACCCCTTAATTCTTTATCTTCAGTGATTCAACACCCAAACCTTACAAACACTAAAACTACTTAATTCATTCATTAACTTAGTTCAGCTCAACTCTACGGCATCAGAATTTCCAGCAGATCAAGTAACCTCTCTTTATGACTCGCTCGTCAATAAAGATCGTATAATGACACTTGAGATAGAAATTTATAGGTTTGTCGATATCAAGAAATTGTTTCCTCTCTGTAGTTTTATACATTTTGGCCATCTCTTTTAGACTTTTTTCCTTTCCTCTTTATTTTTCTCTATCTTTGTAAGCCTTTTTATTCCTTTTTGCAGTATCAACTAACATATAACAAAGGAAGAGAGAGAGAGAGAGTCTTCATATTTCTTGTATGGAAATAGACTCAATCTAGAGTCAAAAATCTCATTGCTGAAAGCATTCTTAGCTTAGAAATGAATGGACATGGAAAGACTCATTTGGATAAAGCCTGTGAGTCAAAGCTGATCTTTGACCCTTCTTCTTCCATGGATTCCACTAAAATTGATTACATCTCATGGATTCCACGAAAATTGATCTTTCACCCTTCTTCCTTCCCACACTAATCTTCAGTATCCTTCCAAAGTCCTGCAAATGGGGAAGAGATAGTG